CACTCACCAAATGAAGGGGCACCAAAATACATTAGACAATTATTATCAGCTCTGAAAATACATATAGAGTGCGAGACTTCAACACCCCACCCACTCTCACCAATGGACAGATCAATGAGACAAAATATACACAAAGACACCAGAGCCCAAAATAAAGACATAGAACTCATGGACTTAACAGACATCTATAGGACAGTGTACCCAAAAAAATCCAAGTACACATTTTTCTCAAGTGCACACAGATCATTCTCCAGAACTGATCATATACTGGGACACAAGACAAACATCAACAGATACATGAAGATCAAAATCCTTCCAACTATCTTCTCCAATCATAAAGGCATCAAGCTAGAAATAAATCATGAAAAGAAAACAAGGAACCCTCCCAATTCATGGAGATTGAAATCCACACTACTGGAAGACCACTGGACTAATTAGGAGATCAAAGAAGAAATTAAAAAATACTTTGAGTTGGACGAAAAGGAGGACACCACCACTTTCCAGAATGCAGCAAAAGCAGTAATAATAAGAAAATATATAGCAATACAGGCTCACATCAAGAAACAAGAAAGAACTCAAAGAAACAACCTAATCTCCATCTCAAAGAGCTAGAAAAAGAACAAGAAAAAAACCCTAAAGCCAGTAGAAGAAAGGAAATAATAAAAATCAAAGCAAAAATAAACGAAATGGAAATTGAAAAAACTATGTAAAAGATCAATGAAACCAAAAGTTGGTTCTTTGAAAAAATAAACAAAATAGACAAATCTCTAGCCAGGCTCACAAAGAAAAAATGGAGGAAAACACATATAAATAGGATTATAAATAAAAGAGGAGAAATCACAACAGACTCAGTAGAAATCAAAAGAATAATCAGAGATTACAATGAACACTTATATGCAATCAAATTCAACAACCTAGAAGAGATGGACAAATTCCTAGAACAATATAATCATCCAAAGCTGGACAAAGAAGAAATAGAACAACTTAACAGACCAATTACAAGCAGCAAAATTGAGGCCGTAATCAAAGCACTCGCCAAAAACAAAAGCCCAGGCACAGACGGCTTCACAAATGAATTCTACCAAACGTTCAGCAGTGAATTAGTGCCTATCCTACACAAACTCTTTCAAAAAATTGAAAAAGAAGGAATACTACCAAATACGTTCTACGAAGCCAACATTACACTAATACCAAAGCCAAACAAAGACAGCACAAAAAAAGAAAATTACAGGCCAATCTCCCTAATGAACACTGATGTAAAAATCCTCAACAAAATCCTTGCCAACAGAATCCAACAATGCATCAAAGGAATAGTATACCACGATCAAGTGGGATTCATCCCAGGGGCACAAGGATGGCTCAACACACGAAAATCGATAAGTGTAATCCAACACATCAACAAAAAGAAAAATAAAAAGCATATGATCATATCAATAGATGCTGAGAAAGCATTCGACAAAGTCCATCATCAATTTATGATGAAGGCCCTTGAAATTCTTCGGATAGAAGGAACATACCTCAACATGATAAAAGCCATATACAACAAACCCACTGTCAACATAATTCTCAATGGTAAAAAGCTGAAGGCCTTTCCTTTAAGATCAGGAACAAGGCAAGGTTGTCCTCTCTCACCATTGCTCTTCAATATAATACTGGAGGTCCTAGCCAGGGCAATAAGACAAGAGAAAGACATGCAAGGAATCCAAATAGGGAAAGAAGAAGTAAAACTATCACTATTTGCAGACAATATGATGATATACACAGAGAACCCTAAAAACTCCACAGAAAAACTACTCAAAGCAATCAACCAGTTCAGTAAAGTAGCAGGATACAAAATCAACATGCAAAAATCAGTAGCCTTCCTATACACAATCAATCAGAAGAAGAAGAAATCAAGAAAACCATCCGTTTTATAATTGAAACAAAAAAAAATCAAATACTTGGGAATAAACCTAACAAAAGAGGTGAAAGATCTATACAAAGAAAATCATAAAACACTGTTAAAAAGAAATTTAAGAAGATGCAAAGAAATGGAATGACATTCCCTGCTCATGTATTGGAAGAATCAACATTATTAAAATGGCCATCCTCCCAAAAGCAATATACAGATTCAATGCTATTGCAACAAAAATCTCAATGATATTCTTCAAAGAAATAGAACAAATACCAATGAAATTCAAATGGAACCACAAAAAACCACAAATAATATATAATATAAATATATATTATTTATATAGCCAAAGCCCTACTGATGAAAACAAAGGAGAAAGGAGGTACCATACTTCCAAACTTCAAGCTATACTACATAGCTATAATAATTAATACAGTTTGGTACTGGAACAAAAACAGACACACAGACCAATGGAACCAAATAGAGAGCCCAGAAACAGAGCCACACTTATATGAACAACTAATCTTTGACAAAGGAGCAAAGAATATGCAATGGAACATGGATAGTTTGGTGCTGGGAAAAGTGGACCTCCACGTGCAAAAAAATGAAACTAGACTACTACCTCTCACCATGCACAAAAATCAACTAAAAATGATAACTGGACATAAGACCTGAAACCATAAAATATATAGAAGAAAATACAGGTAAAACACTACAAGACATACATCTCAGAAACATCTTTTTTTTTTTTTTTTTTTTAAAGATTTATTTATATAAGCACTGGGTACAGTCAGAAGCGCAGGAGGGTGAGAGAATTCACCAGAGCCAGAGCGGGGAGCAGAGCAGGCAGAAGGACCGAAGTACACTGCCGAGGAGGGGAGCAGTGGGCGGCAGGAGAGGTCTGCGTGCCATGCGGGACCCTCCTGCAGTGGCCGGGGAGTAGCCGGGGATCAAACCGGCACTGCAGAGGCTTCGGGCAGTTTCACAGCCCAGCGTTCAACCGCTGCGCCAACGGGGAGGCTCCATCTCAGAAACATCTTTAAAGCAATGATAGTGAAGGCAAAGATAAACACCTGGGATTACATCAAACTAAAAAGCTTCTGTACAGCCAAAGAGACATTAACCAAAATAGAGAGATACCCCACTGATTGGGAAAAAATCTTTGCACTCCATTCAACTGATAAGGGACTGGTCACAAAGATATACAAAGAACTCACAGGGCTCAACATAAACAAAATAAATAATCCAATCAAGAAGTGTGAAGAAGAACTCAAAAGACATTTCTCCAAAGAGGAAATGCAAATGTCCAACAGGCATACGAAAAAATGTTCAACATCCCTTATAATCAGGGAAATGCAAATCAAAACCACATTGAGATACCATATTACACCAGTAAGACTGGCACATAGCAAAAAAAAACAAGCAACAACAAATGTTGGCGAGGATGTGGTAAAAAAGGAACTCTCCTACATTGCTGCTGGGAGTGCAAACTGGTCCAACCGCACTGTGGAACGCTGTCCTGAGGTTCCTCAGTCTACCAAAAATGGAGCTACCATATGACCCAGCAAATCCACTACTAGGGATCTACCTAAAGGACACAAAAACAGTGATTCAAAAGAGCACCTGTACCCCTATGTTTATTGCAGCACTATTTACAAAAGGTAAAACCTGGAAACAACCCAAATGCCCCAAAATAGATGACTGGATCAAGAAGATGTGGTATATATACACAATGGAATATTATTCAGCAATCAAAAAAGATAAACTCATGTCATTTGCAGCAAAGTAGATGGAGCATGAAGGAATTATGCTCAGTGAAATAAGCCAGAAGGAAAAAGAAACATATTGGATGGTTTCACTTATAACAGGAATATAGGGGAAACCAATAAGACATCAGTGTAAAAAAAATAATAACAGTAAAAAACACAACAAAGCAAAAACAGACAATTATAAACCAGAGACATACTACAGCGGAGGAGGAGGGAGAGGGATCAGAGGGATGGAGGGAGGAGCACAGGGGACTGGTGATTGTGCATGGGTGCCTTGGGGAAGGAAATTCTATGGGGACTCAATCTGAGGGGGTGGGGGAAGGAAATATTGTTTAAATTTTTTTTAAAATGATAAATGTTAAAATAAAACATAAATAAATTAAAAAAAAAACATCAAAATGTTCACAGTGGTTATCTCAAGTTGGAGAGTTAGATGGCTTTAACAGGAAAAGGGGAAGTACTTATAGGTTCCCTTCCATGTGTGTTCTGGAGTCAGTAACTGCTTACAAATAATACAATATTCATTGTAATACAATATTTATTGTAAAAAGGAACCCCACATTCTTTGCCTTAAACTGTTTTGTCTTTTTCTTAGTAGACCAAAATTAAAATTAAGAGTTTTCAAGTCTTTTTGGATTTGACCTTTTAGCTTAATCTAGGTCCTCAAAGGATAATGGCTACTGCAGTTAGGAAAAGGTGCATTAATAGCTAATATTTATTAATTGCTGTGCACATGAATTATGTGAGACAATGTTCTAGGTGTTTTGCTTAAATAATTAAATTAATATACTCATAACCCTAAAAGTAAGGAAACTGAAGCTAGAGAGTTTAGGCAACTAGCCTAAGATGACACAGCTAAAAGGTAAAGAAGCCAGGATTCAAACCCAAGGCAGCCTGGCTTCGAAGCCTGCCCTCTAACCTACTATGTTCCATTACTTTCAGTTATATGTGGATTTATTTCCTTCCTTATGCTTTTCTAGACTTCTCTCTAATACCCAATAAGTATTACTAAAAAGGAAAGGTGGACATTTACTCAGAGACAAACAGGGGACACCAGGATAAGTGCCCTGTAGTTTATCTAGCAAGAGTCAGAAACCTTACTGTGGTCGATGGGTCATGATTTATTTGTCTTGCACAATATCCATCTTTTCTATCCATTCTCAACCATCAGTACAGGAGCAGTGTTGCAGGTACCTGTTTTATTAATAGACATAAATATTTGGCTAAAATAAATCAAACATTTACCTGCAGAATTACTCTTCTCTCCAGCTCTGAAAAAGAAGTCTTAAAATAATGCTATGAATTCATTAAAGAATTTAAATAAAGTTGGATCAAATTACCTTGAGTTCTTGAAGTTGATCAGGTTCATAAAGCTGGGTAGATACTGCCTGTGCAAGGAAAGTGTCTAGCTCATGGCGGTGCAAGATGCGACCGCCTGGCCACTGAATCATGTACCTAGAAAATAAAAGCATTATCATTAAGCCACATTTATTCACTTCACTAACATTTATTAAGCTAAGAACCTATCATGTGCCAGAGTCTAGGCTAGACTTTGGCAATTCCAATAGAGCAAAAGTAAGTCTCTGTCTTTGGTTACTAGCAGTCTGGGTGGCAGAGGAGACAGGCATGTATATTAACAATGACTAGTGCCAAAATAAATGAATTCTAAAAGGGTACTACAAGAGCACAGAAAAGGGCTACAACTACAAGAACAAGGGAGAGTATCTTGAAAAAAAAAAGTGAAGAGGGAAGTTTCAAGGGGAATGTAGATTGGTGAGACTAAAGGTGAGGAAAAGAAAGTTGAAGAATGAGGTAACAATAAATGTGAGGCACAGAAGTATGGGGTTCAGCATGATATACCAGGCTCCATATTGCTGGAGCTAAGTATGTTTGTAGTGACAGGAGACAAGATTAGAAAGTAGGCCAGATCACGAAGAGTCTCAGAAATAGTTACTAAGTAATTTGAACCTCATACTGAGAGTACAGCAGGTCCTGGACAAATAATACCATTTTGTTCAATGTTGTTTCATTATAACACTGATGAAAAAAAAGGAATCCTGGCCAATGTTGAAGAAATGATGTTATTTGAGGACCCTTTTTCATTCACTTAAATTTACAGTTTCCAAGAACCTATTGATGGTGTCAAGTGAGAACTTACTATGTAGGAAGACAGTGCAGAATTAACTATAGAAGAGTGATATTAACTGGTTTAATATTGACTGGTTTTTGAGGGTAAGAGACATGGATACCATTTGGGAGGTAACTGCAGCAACCTGTTGCAAACTGATCTAAACAAGGGAAGTGGTTGAAAGGTTGGAGAGGGTCAGAAGACAAGAGTATGAAGGAAATAAAATCATGGGATTTGGTTATGGGTTTTATAGAAAGGGGGTAAAGAAAAAGAGTCTGAGATTACCAGAATTCTGCCTTGGGTAGATGGCTAGATTATAGCGTCATTCCTCAAAATAGAAAATCTACTAATTAAAAGAATAAGCACACATTGATGAGTATTTGAATTCCATGAATTGCATTGTTTATTGCTATAGATAGCAAAAATGCAGAAAAAGGAAAAGAGATGGAAAAAATATATAAATACATCAGTACAAAGACTGTGACCTTAGCTCCTTTGAGGTCCACAAGAAAACAATCATTCATAATTATTGGAGCTATTGAAACTTCAGAAACCTGGCATTGAAAACAAGGGTTGGGTTCCTGGGAATTCTAGCCCCATTACTATTACTAGGAGGTAGTGTGGTACACTGGAAAGAGCCTGGGCTCTGCAGCCAGACAGCCTGGCTCTGAAACTCTAAGTTTCCGTTTCTTATGTGAAATGATCACAACAGTACAGGTAGCCCTATGATTATCACTCCTAAAGATCAAACTATCCAGTATGGTTTTGGAATTGTAGGACCTGTCAGTAAGCCGTGCTATTGCTTCTTTAGGATGTAAATTCTAAATTACTGGGCTTACCAGGAGGGAATCCTCCTGAGACACACAAAACTTACCTTTGCTCAGAATGCTTCCTATTCTCTTCCCTTATTTGCCAACAGGCAAATTCATTCATACTTCATAAAGTATTTGATACTTATTTTTTAAATTAGATAATAATTCACACATTTTATTAGCTTCAGGTACACAACATAATGATTTAATATTTGTATATATTGCAAAATGATCACTACAATAAATCTAGTTATATCCCATGATCACACAAAGTTACATTTTTTCCCTTGTGATGAAGTAAATATCCTCTTAACAATTTTCAAACATACAATACATTATTATTAACTATAGTCTCAATGCTGTACATTACTTCCCTATGAGTTATCTATTTCAGTTTATACATTTTGGCCTCCTCCTATTTCACCCAAGCCCTAAACCCCACCTCTGATAACCACTAATTGTTTTTCTGTATTCATGAGCTCTGTTTTGATTTTTAAAAAAAGATTCCACATTTAAGTAAGATCATACAGTATTCCTCTTTTTTAAAGATTTATTTATTTATGCATACAAGAAATGGGGTACATGCCAGAGTGTGTGTGTGTGGGGTGGGGGGGTGAGAGGATTCACCAGAGACAGAGTGGGGAACAGAACAGACAGATTGACTGAAATACACTGCTGAGGGGAGCAGCAGGTGAGTCAGGAGAGGTCTGCTGCGCCATGTCAGTAGCTCCCTGGCTGGGGATCAAACTCGTGCTGCAGTGGCTGCAGATATCTTCACAGGTTGCGTCTTAACTCCTTGTGCCACCAGGGAGGCCCACACAGTATTTCTTTGTCTGATTTATTTCACTTAGTATTATGTACTTAAAGTTCATCCATGTTTTCACAAATGGCAATATTTCCTTCTGTTTTATGGCTGAGTAATATTCTATTGTGTATGTATTTATGTGTATATATAAATATATATATATATATCTTATTTCTCCACTCAAACACTTAATGGACACTTAAGTTATTTCCATGCAGCAATAAACATGGGGGTGTGTATATCTTTTCAACAGAGTTTTAGTTTTCTTCAGATATATATGCAGAAATGGAATTGCTGGAGCATATGGCACTTCTATTTTTAATATTTTGAGGAACTATACTGTTTCCATAGTGGCTGACCAATTTACATTCCCCCCAACAGTGCACAGGGTTCCCTTATCTTTTTCTACACATCCTCACCAACACTTGTTATTTCTAGTCTTCTTGATAATAGCCATTCAAACAGGTGTGAAGTAATTTATCATTGTGGTTTACAATTTCATTTCCCTGATGATATTGAGCACCTTTACATATAAATGTTGGCAATCTGTATGCCTTTTTCTGATCAAAGTCTATTTAGATCTTCTGCCCATTTTTTAATCAAATTTTTTTTTGCTATTGAGATATATAATTTCCTTGTATTATGAATATACCTCCTTATCAGATATAGATTTTTGTTTTCTCCCATTCAGTAGGTTAACTTTTCATTTTTGGATGGTTTCCTTTGCTGTACAGAAGGTTTTTTGTTTAATGTAGTACCACTTTATTTTTGCTCTTTTAGCCTTTGGTTTTGGGGTCAAATCCAAAAGCTCATCATCAACACTGATGTCAATGAGCTATCAGAACCCATGGGATGCAGAAAAAGCAGTACTAAGAAGGCCATAATAGCAATACAGGTTCATGTTAAGAAACAAGAAAGGTTTCAAGTAATCAAACCTTATACCTTAAGGAGGTGGGGAAAAAAGGAACAAATGAACCAAAAGCCACTAAAAAAAGGAGATAATAAAATTAGCATGGAAATAAAAAAATACAAAAAGATGATACCAAAGATCAGTGAAATCATAGTTTTTTCTTTGAAAAGGCAAAAAAAAAAATGCAGACAAACCTCTAGCTAAGCTCACTAAGAAAAAAAAGATAAAACTCTAATAAATAGAAATGAAGAGAAGTGACAACAGTCATCTTAGAAATGCAGTAGATTATCAGAAATTACTATGAACATCTTTATGGCAATAAATTGGGTAATGTAGGAGAAATAGACAAAATATTATAAGTACAACCTTCCAAGACCAAATTAGGAAGAAATAGAAAACCTGAGAAGATCAATTACAAGCAAGGAAACTGAAACAGTAATCAAAACTCCCCTAAAAACCAAAAACCTAGGACAAGATGGTCTCACCAGTGAGTTCTATCAAACATTCAAAGACAAACTATACCTATCCTCAAACTCTTCCAAAGAATTGAAGAGGGAAAGCTTCCAAATACATTTTATGAGGAAAGCATCACTCTAATACCAAAAGCAGACAAGGACAACACACAAAATGAAAGCCGCAAACCAATTTCCCTGATAAACACAAATGCAAAAATCCTCAGCAAAATCTTAGCAAACCAAATAAAATAATACATTAAAAGGATCACATATCATGACCATGTGCAATTTATTTCATGGATACAAGGATGGTTTAACCTATGCAAATTAATCAGTGTAATTCACCACATCAACAAAAGGAAAGATAAAAATCATAACCATATTGATGGAAGCAAAGAAAGAATTTTTACAAGATTCCAACCTCCATTTATGATAAAAACTACCAATAAAATGGAGTTAGAAAGAACATACTTCAACAAAATAAAGGCCATATATGTCAACCCCACAGCTAACATCATAGTCAATAGAAAAAAATTGAAAGCTTTTCCTTGAAGATCTGGTAAAGACAAAGTTGTCCACTTTCACCACTACTATTCAACGTAGTATTGAAAATCCTACATAGAAAAAGTAGACAAGAGAAAGATATAAAAGGAATCCAAATTGGAAAAGAAGCAAAAACATCACTATTGGCAGATAACATAATAACATATATAAACACCCTAAAGACTTCATTTTAAAAAACATTGGGCACAATGTCAATACACAAAAAATTTGTTTCATACCTATATGCAAGCTATGAACTGGAAAAGAAAGAAAAACCAGTCCATTTAAAATTGTGACAAAAGAATTAAATGCCCAGTTATAATTTAACAAAGGAGGTGAAAGGCCTATATAACAAAAACTAAAAACATATTTTTAAGAGAGAAGGAAGACACAAAGAGATGGATATCCTTGTTCATGGATTGGAAGATAAACATTGTTAAAATGACCATCTACCCAAAGTAAGTAATATGCAGATTCAGCACCAATAACAGACAAGTGTATAAAAAGTAAAAAGTGGTATACTCACAACTAAATACTGGTCAGCTCTACAAAAGGATGAAATCTTGCCATTTCCAACAATATAGATGGAACTTGAGGGGATTATGTTAAGTGAATTAAGTCAGAAGAAGAAACAAACACTGGATGATTTCACTCATATATCGATATAAAGAAACAAAGCAAAGGAATAGACAAAAACTAAACCAAAACAAATGCTAGAAATCTGATTGCAAAATTAAAGCTACCAGAGGGGGAGGGTTGGGGAGGGGTTCAATGGTCTATCATGGAGGATTACTAGTGCTTT